CTTTCTAAGAGGCATATTCTAGTGGACCGCAAATTTGCGTTGTGGACCAAATGAACGGTAAATGAATGATCCGCACTAGGGTCTTGTCATTAAAAGTGAGGCAATTACTATACAGACAGTGTCAGTGTGTACTAGTCAAGGCAATTTCCAGAAACCATGTAATTTCTTTATCAATGGATGCACAGAGAATCTCTCACTGTGACTCTACAGTGTTACCGTATCATGCTCAAGTCAAATGCTGCAGTTCGCTTTTTGCTACGGATTTACACTGTAGTGGTCTTTCCGTTTCTTTTTATTGGTGCTGCTGAGGTACTGTAGTACATGCTTAGCCGACGGAAAGATTTCTTGATCCCAGACCTCATGGTACAGTGTTCCCCAACACCTACTTCCACTCCATAAAGACGTAAACTGGGACTAGATAGGCGAATCAGTGCTGGCTCACAAATAGTCGCCATTCTCCAAAAATCTGTGCATTTCTTGTCTTCCATGTGACTTTGAATGGGTCAGGTCGGCCCAGCGCTTCAGATATTACCATTTATTGATGTGGCAAAATGAAGCGAACTAGTCCTGAACAGGTGCAAAGTTTACTTCTCCCAAACAACGCAAAGCACGCTTAGTAAATTCCCCAGCTGCCGAGCCCCCTTTTCTATACGAGTATTACCCGAGAACACGAGATGAACAACGTGTAGTTGGACGAAGAGAACAGCTGTCAGAATACCAAGGATTGATCCTACAACTATTAATCTTAGACCACACAAAATCGAAGAAGGATGGTCAATTGAGTTGTTGCGAGTGGGTTAGAACAAGATAAGTTGGAGCCTCCTGGTGGATCAGCTAGGGTTCCTAGGGTGAGAACTGACGCTGGGGCTGGCTATGCCATGTCCGGGGATTAGCGGTGCGTATCCCAGAGGCACGACATTGGATCCTGGGAAGCTATCAGCCTCAGGAACGACAGATAGACATAGCGTATCTTCTACTTGTGGAGTGGAAGTGCGTATCCCAGAAGCACAGCATTGGATCCTGGGAAACTATCAGCCCCAGGAGCTATCGACCTTTTAATGTCTGTGTGCGAATCTACAGTACACCCTTCAAAATAATTAAGGTCATTTCAATCTGCTTAAGGCTCCTGGGACCTTACATTTAATTATCGGTAAGTTAAGTTACCTTGCACTACGACAAATGTAATAAATCAAGATATAAAATAGCATGGCCCCTTTGTGATATTCAAGTCCATCTTAATTTTCATCGATATCCGGGTCCTACAAACTTGATTCAATTGAACAGGTTTCAACTTCCTCATCACCTTTCTGAGTTGTATCACCAAGTACTGGCCACCAAAACGACTCATTTTTCTGAAGCTTCAACGCATCATGGCGGGTCGCCAGCCGTCAGGTACAGAGATCCTTCAGGATGCGAGTATTAGAGGCAACGAAGGTCACGATTCTAGCATGGTCGATGAACATGATGCGGATAGAAAGACCGTTCCGATGAACTCACCTGAATTCTGGAAAGGGAGGAATATGCAGCATCTTCATGTTATACCGAACAGCTTTATACTCAAGGAATCTACTCCTGATTCAACGTATGCTAAATACCCCGGCTGCCGGAGCTTCGACTGCACCTGCATCTTTCAACACCTAGAGTCGACGTGCGGTTAGCAGGGAAAAAGGAAAATTGAGACGGACGGCGTTGAATCAGGTGAGTTACAGTACCTTCGCTGTTTTCCGTTCTATTTTCATGTTGTTTAAACTAATATAGTGACAGCTTCAGGATCGAAGAGAAGTCGTCAATTTTGTGGTAGTGGTTCAAACTCTATGGATATTCCACTCCTCTCTTACGAAGAGTTCAAGTGTCTCGGAGGGGTTGACCAAGAGCAATACTACAATAGCACGGCTAAAGCTTCTAGTGCCTGGAAGGCCTTTGTGACTTCATGCCCCCGTATTGATAGAATGGTTTTTCAACACTATGAGACTAATAATCGACTGACTATCGCTGAGAGGGAGGCGGCATATTCTGTGCAGGAACACATCGAGCGGACGTGGCGCTTATCCAAGCCACCACTCCCTGAGTTCAGAACAAGAATTACACCCCGAAATATGAGCGAACAAACTTGTTGGTACGATGACGATCTTCGATGGAACTCTTTCAGTTCAAAATTCGAATTCGGGCATTCTCAGCTTTCCCAATCAAGTCACCAGTCGTTAGACGATTTTGAAAGGTTGATTTGTCAGCGCGGTTTTTATAAGCACATATCTTCTGCTCTCCTCTTTTACCGCCTCAATAGTCTCGCTGGGGAACTAGAAGTTGAGAGTGACCATTACAAGAGTTCTTGGGATATTACATTTCATCACTCGAACAGCGCTGGCACCACCCTCCGGCTATGGGACAGCAAAGGAAGAGCAAGGGCAGTGTTCTCCGGTTTGAGAGAGGCGGAGGGAGACGCTCTAGAATTGATCAACTTTGTGGCCTGTTTCAAGTCTCCCCATACTTATGATGGAGTGATATCAGGCACGGTGGCTTAAATGCCTTTTTGAGGTTTCTCACTTCGCAGTACGGAGCAATCCATGCTTGCTTACTAATCGCCTCCAAAGAGAGGCGATCTGAGCAAGCAGGCTCATCAAAACATGACAGGATAGCGCCCGACATATTGCTTTTCCCTTCCAGTCAGCGGGCGGGCATGGTAATTTTCCCACTTCTTTGGCGATCCTTTGCCATTGTAAGCAGAATGTATTTAGCAGTCATAACCCAAGATTTACAATATTACAGTAGCACTTGATGAACGTTGCAAGTAGGCTTCTTTCCCAAGTCTGAAAATCGTCGAAACGAGTGGACGGCGCTTCCCTTCACCGGTGCACGACCGACACACTCGACAACGGTGGTATCTAGCCCCACCACCCTCTCTTCTCACCACCCTCTCTTCTCACCACCCTCTCTTCTCACCACCCTCTCTTTTCACCACCAACATGTCAACCACCTGGTTGCCTCGAGGACCTGTTAACCCGATACGTCCCTCCAGCACTCCTTATGTTCAAGCGACTGGCTGGGGGTATTACTCCGCACCAGACAGACCTTGGAAAATATTGGCTTACATTACTTAGGTACAGTAGATTTCGAAAACAGATTACCCCCCAGACACGCACTCTTGCTTTCCCAATAGACACACTAACGGACTAGGGGGGTAATCTGTTTTCGAAATCCTCTGTACTGCACTGTATCGTACTGTAACCTTAGTATGCCCTAGTCATTATTAGTCCGTTCAACTTTCGTGTCATCTTTACCGAACTGCCAGTTCGCACAGACTACTTGGCGTTTTGAGTGATAACAAACTGAAAAACAACTCGTGAAGGTCACAAAGGAAACTGATATCAACTCTCCTCGATTTTGAATCCAGACGCATGGAACTGTCATTCTTGGTCATTTGTCGCTGACCCTAGAACCGTCGGCAGAACTTTCTTATTATCGAGGATTTGTTCGTACATGGCTAGATCCACACACCCCTTGTCTGGTCGAATATAGCTCCCAGGAGATCGACTGTCTGGTCCCAAGAAAATGACTCTCAAGGACAGTAAATGATCATCATACACATCGCCTCTTTAGATAGCCGACGAAATATATAAGAATGAAGGCGCCGTTCTTCATCACTCAACACTGCCACAAAACTTGATTGCTTCCATCCATGCACGATTTCTCTCCTCTTATATGGTACGTGCTGCATTATTCATCACCTTCAATCAGTATATTCCGCAACTAGCGCTTTGTATTTTCACCGCTGTGAATAGAAGCCATATAGCCATTCGCAAAAACATATATTGTTACGGGCTTGTCGTGGTACTGCATTTTTAACAAGAAAGAAATGTCCGTGACTGCGCGTTCTACTTCGGCACCGGGCATAACTCAAATTTTTCCCATGCAGTGATCTGATTGAGAGCGTCTACTACTCGCGAAACTGGAGAAGGAATCTTAGGGGGTTGGTCCGACATGGTGCTTCCCTTCAAGAGTTTCCTAATGGGCTCAGCAGTTTTTTCTGCGATGCTTTTGCAAAACGCCATTCCCGTGCAAGGTTAATGTGGCTGTTTCGGAATGGAGCTTTGGAAATCTCCGGTAAAGGCAGTAAACGAAGATCTGACATATCTGACCTGAAGTTGATCCAGCGTAGGTTTCAGTATCGACTAATAGAAGAGTACGAGAAGGAGCTAGCGGTGGCAATGCATGAAGACGCATTCAACTGGTGGAAAGAAGGCTTAGTTATTTCTACACAACTGGAACGACTGGAATATTCTATTTCCCTTGCCTTTTATTCTTGTCACTTACACAAGGTTCTTACACATTGACAAAATCTGTTTGAATAATAGGCAGAGATGAAGTGTTTGACATGTTTGTATTTTCATGGATAGTTCTACTTCCATTGATTCGCCAATACTATACAGTAACGAGGAGACGCGCTGTATTGTGTAGAGGGCGATCTACTGTAACAGCAACGAAAGGCCTTGATCTATAGTATTGGAGATAAGAGGTATGGAGAGATTTCGAGACACAGACTGTATATTCCCCTAGAGTGGGATTGTATCGTGAGCGACGCGAGAAAGAAAAATGGCGGGACGGGCCGAGACGTGAACCCCTGAGCCGGCCGACCGTAACGAACACAAAGACTCACCCCATGATTAGCGAGGCCGAGACACACCACAAGACTACCGAATAACTACGCTCAAGGGCAAGAGATTGGCACCGAGCAGAGATTGTAGAATTTCGGATTCGTGACCTCGAAAGCGAATTGGAAAGAACTCAGTCTCAAAACCACTTTTGCTTTTCAAACTAATCACTACTTGCACGATTCTCTCACATATTGCCAAGTATTTGATAATGTTGAGATCATTCCGGATCAGACATTCTAAGCCCCGGATCCGGGTCTTACGAACTCGGTGACTGGCAATCCGAGACCACATGGATTGCCTGCGATTTATGTAATTATCGGGCCCAGTTATATTCATGCACATCGGCATTCACTTGATGAAAGGGGCTTTTGCCAGAGCATCAGCTTGAACTTTCCAAATCTCTCTTCCCAGCTCAACCAGCCTGGGGCCAAAGTTCGCGATGAAATCTTCTACACGAAGACAATCATCCAAGATTTCTTTCCGACATTCCGCCTCTGACCCAAAAGTCGCCAATCGCCAGATTTTCTTCCATTTCAAGAGATTTCGGACGGCCTCGGGATGATTATCTTGAATATCTTTTGCCACCAGGTAGAAAGAGGAACGTTTGGCATGTCCTGTCTTGGGTTTAATAAGTTTCACAGAGGCAAAGCGAGTAAATTGCCAGATAAGATTCGCCGTGTCCCATGCTTCCAGCTTATGAAGAAGTACAACCATAGTTCCTCCATTTCTTAAGTGTTGGAGGCCAAGAACTAATTGAGTAGCAGTCAATCTTCGCGCTTCTACCTTCTCTCGATAAGGAGCGCGCAAATGAGTCCTGAGAACTTGGCCATCGCATATGACCAGATCAAAGGCCTCTCCCTGCCCGAGCTGCTGGGGTAAGAAATTATGTGCGTCTGGGTGGTCTTGGGGTACATTGTTAACGCCCATATCGGCAGCCAGCATCGTGACATCCAAGTGGCGCACGTCAACTTGGAAAGCTCTCGGGAGGCGAATTTTGTGGCCGCCGCAAGAGGCTGGGAGGCTGAAAGCAACCGCACGAGAATGCGGGTTCAATTTTAACGCTGTCTCTAGAAAGCCACCTGGGGCCATGCACGTATCGAGAATTGTAGGGCCCCCCTTGTATCTTGACTGGATTTTGAACGCATTGCTAGATTGGTGGAGCTCTTCTCCAATCTTCTTCATTAAGTTATGGAAGTGGATGTCATTCTTTTCAGAGCTCTGGTCGGCATTGCGACGCTGTGCTCTGAAATAAACATCACCCTTGGGGTTTTCCCATCCCTAGCAATACCATGAGTTGGGCGTTGCTCTATAGTCTCCGTCGGTTGGGTAGACGTACCTTTTTCCGTAGAAGACTGAGTTCTCGGAATTCACTACTTTGCTTGTTCAGGTACGGAACGATGGTCTTGCTGGCATAGTCGAATTTCCTCTCGTCAAGTAAGTGGTCATAAATTGGGACAGCGGTTGCAAGGTCGGGCTGGGGACTATTTCCCGAACGACCACTTTCCTTTCCTTCTGGTGATGAGTCGTTCATGGTGTGAGCTATTTGTACGTCGCAGATACAGTACCGGGCGGACTTGGGAATTCTAAATGTAAGCCTCATTGAAAATAGCCCATCATCAATCTTAAACGTTCCTTTTTTTATCACTTGAGTTGGGCCTTTCAATAATCCCTGTCGGGTGCCAGTGCATATGCCACGTTTACATTGGGCACCACGCCTTTGCCAACACGTCCAACACATCTCAATCAATACCTTCTGTTCGGAAGCTATCAGGGAGCCTGAGCACTTTCTGATACTTCTTATGAAGCATTTGAAAACTACATGAGGTTATGTGAAATTCCCAAAGGTTGAGAGCTCATCACGGCCTCCGGGTCTTCGGAGAGGTGAGCGGCGGGGTTCTATCCTTGCTGGACACTCCAAGTAGAAAGAGTACCCGAGCGTGGTACAGTAGCAGGCAACCAAGAAGAGATTGCTGGAAATATTGCTTGTATGATGCAGAAGGCATGCACGCGCCCTTGTCGGCTGCCACTTGATACCATATTGGACTGCTTATGTGTAAGTACGTAATTACAAGATCATAATGACGTACTGTAAATTCATTCGACCGCGTCATTGATCAATGCCAACGAAGCATTTGCCCGAATTAAATGAAATTTGAATGACTAACTTAGCTTGATCACTTTACTATATCTTTCCATTGGAGCAGGAATAGCACACAATAAAAGCAGTCATCTACAGAAGGTCGACGGTGCTGCCGGCTAGCTACACAAGAAGGCTATATGAGAGCCTGCGCATACCTATTGGCACAGCTTCGCACCGGTCGCAATTGATCATATCCCTACGCCAAAGCCCATTGCTCCCGCACTAATGACCAGTGCGTGTGTGGTGCACAGGAAACAGCTACCCACGTGCTGGTGGACTGTCCAAGTCTAAAGGAAATTCGCCGGGAGTTATGGAATGTACTGTACGGGAAGCATTTAGAAGCGTCTCATGACTGCTGGGGGCTCAACCGAAGGTAAGAGAGGTAAAACAGACACCGTCTCAAGGGCGAAGACGGTCAAGGCCGTACTGGACCTCGCCGAGGCGTCATAACGGTTCAGGAATCGTGCGCCGCGAGGGCAGGCTAATGATGAGAACGGCAATTTGGTCACCGCAGGCTGTGATGAGGCTCTAAGTTCGTTTTCCATGAAATGGGACACTCTGCATATACTGTACTGTACTGTACTGTACCTTTACGCGGATATATTGTTGAGGTAGCCTGTACATCCCTTTCTAGCAATGGGTTAGGGTGAATGACATCAACTAGCCAACCCGCCGACTGTATCCTTCAACGATTGACACCCCTAACCTCTGGACAATGGCTATACTAATTCTTCATAAACTGGAAAGTAGTAACCTTATAAAGATCTTCAGCGTCTTACCATACCTGTCTAACGGCGGGCGATATCATCTGGAGAATGTTTGCTCTGGAGTTCTTAAGTATCCTGTGCCTCGAAGTTGGCTTGGCTCCTGCCACAAGTGTACGTTTAAATATAAGGACTACGATGTGGCGAACTGAATGACTAACTATTTAGGGGCTCTACTTACCATTGAAACTTTTTGCGTGGGATGAGCCGAACTGTCGCGGAAATATATCCTGGACCACTTTTGACGAGAACAGTTTTGCGCGGAACATCTCTAATTTCTATGTTTCCCACAGCTTTAGGCTCAACCGTTCGTTGGAACGCTAAGAACAGCTAGACATTTCAGTGACTAGCGATCTTTTAACATGGTATTCTGATAAAGATCAATTGTTATATAAAAGCTCGTTATGTAGTACCTTCTGGTAGAGTTATTATTCTGCGAACGGGAGTACTGTCTGTCACAATACACCACCGTTTACTTGCTATAGATTATGGAATAATCTGGGATTACCTACATTTGAATGATATGCTAGGGCTTCTGATATATGGAATGGGCTGTTGAGCGAAGTCCGCAATTTATATACACAGGAGCGATTGAGTATCTCAAACCTAGAACTTGAACACGAAATCTATGTCTAACATCATTATGCCCGACTCGCGTTCGTACTATAAGCCTGCGTAGTTAATCCTAAGCCCAGCTACCTTTTACAATTCGTCAGACTTTTAGTTAAACCACCTAGTTTACGTTGATGAATCTAGATGTGATAGATGAATCGGGTTCAGACGGACGGGCTGGTCACCCCTTGGCGTGGCTCCGGTGTAAGTCTCACAATTTTACCGTGATGAGCGGTATTAGATATTGCCTTCATTTGCCGTGTCTTTCGTGGTGCTATGGACGCAACTTTGTTCGAGGACTTTTCCGATGAGCTTCTTTATTATTGTGGAAGATGGCTAGAGCCGAAATCTGTACTGGTCATGGATAATGCGTCGTCCTACCACCTTGAGCCGATCGGGCAGCTGTGTGCAGCCGCGGGAGTAGAGCTGGTTAATCTGCCACCCTATTCGCCTGACCTGAACCCTATTGAAGAGTTCTTCGCCGAACTTAAGGGCTTTATTAGACGCAACTGGAGATTCTTCTGGATTATTTTATGAGTCTAGAAAGCCCTGAATTCACCTCATTTTTTAGATGTTTTCCCCCTATCATTGAGAAGAGACAGTAATACTTGGAAAAAGCATAGGTTCTCGGATAAGAGTCTGTAGAGACTTTCGTCGAGGCTAAGTGTGAAGAGTGCGATTAAGAGACGCGTAGTGCTAGATTAGCTTAGTGGCAAGTAGCAAGAACACTGAGGGCGAGGGTTGCCTTTCTGGGAGTGGTATATAAAGTGTTGGAGGACGGTGTCTCGACAGGCTAGATAAATCTGCTTCTTTTTTAAGATCAATTAGTCTAGACGAAGTCAACTGGAGACGATGCTTTTTAAATCCGTATTTGGCATCCTTTACTCTAGCAGCTTGGCAGCCGCTTATATGGAGATGAGCTGGCTATATCCTTTGCGTAGCCGGTTCGACCCCTATAGCGACCCTTCTCTTATCGACTATTTAATGACCAGCCCTCTGAATCTAGATGGTATGTTATCTCGACTTCAAGAACCTTGCTTTTAGTATTGGCACTGTCTAACGGGTACCTATAGGCTCCAATTTCCCTTGTAAATGGTACCAGATGAACACTCCTTGGCGCGTAATAGTCGGTTACACTGCAGGCGATACCTACAATATCACACTGTCCGGCTCTGTAACGCATGGCGGAGGCTCCTACCAACTCTCCCTGAGCTATAATAACGGTACGACCTTTAAGGTGATATAGTCTATGGAGGGCGGATGCCCTCTACAATCCAAATACAACTTTAAGATACCCAAAGATGTGGCAGATGGTACTGCCCTCTTCGTATGGTCGTGGTTTAATCTAATCGGAAACCGAGAGATGTATATGAACTGCGCAGATGTTATTATTAGTGGCGGCACTGGAACTGTGACGGCATTTGAGAATAAGTACCCGGATATGTTTGTTGCTAATGTTGGTAATAAGTGCTTAACTGTCGAGAATTAGCAGACAGTATTTGGCAGTCCCGGGACGCAGGTTATCTATGGGGCTGGGGTAGCGCCGTCTTCGCAACCTTTCTTAGACTGCTCTTGATATTCGCGTTGAAGCTTTGTGTGGGAATACGGATCGAATACAATGGACTTTTTCGTGTATATATATAGAGTAACTTGTGATGGAAAGCTAGGTAATGTGCTGATCGCTCTGCTATTCTGTACCTAAGATGATAGCGGCTAACGTTAGAACAGCTAATGCTTAGCTTTCTTCGCAGTCGCTTGAATCGACACTGGTCCCTGGTGATCTTGAGGCTCTTAATCTTACACAATGTAGCTTCACTAAGTGACTAGCTACAGTTGTTTAATGCAACGAGCTCGGATGTTTGGATGCCTGGGTAATGGCTGTCATTGTATGCCACACTTTCTCTATGCTGTACTGCTGTACCCTACGGCGATGTCTGTTTCCACTTCGTTGGAAATATCCCCCTCCCTTTCTCTACAAACTCTATGTCTGAAACCATTATTATAGTAGCTTAATACTGCTATGGTTCTACGTTTATTGTTGAAGTATCGGCATCGGTGTGGCAAAAAGTAGATATTTGTGGAGAAAACTTCCGAGTTTTAACTGGAGAGAAATCTGAAGTGTCGGGTTACAGTACCGTAAGCTTAATAGTATATTTTTATTTAAACACCTTGAAGTCAGATACTGCTGTTATTGCGTAAAGCCCCTAGGTTGTAGCCACGCATACTACTACTCTTGGGTTTGTTGGTAGACTGTTCTATTGTGGATTTCTAGCCTTTTACTAAACTTTAAGGCACTAAACGATATCCATTTCTAAGACTGATGGTCCGATCACCTGCTAAGCCTAGGACTGGTAAATTATAACAGAAGACGAGGATGACAGGTGGCACTACGCTAGATTGCCCACCGACCTACATTTCGGCCTACCTACTGTACTTATAGGTATCTATTTACTGTACACTGTTCACTACCTTTTATTGCCCAGTAGGCACTCTATTCTCTACTGCCGCCAGTCTTCTACCGTCCGTCCTCTTTCCTAGCCCACTATTTTCTACCGTTCACTTCTCTCTTTTCACTACCCTCTCTTTTTACTACCCTCTCTCTTTACTACCCTCTCTTTTCACTACCCTCTCTTTTTATTACCCTCTCTTTTTACCACCCTCTCTTTTTACCACCCTCTCTTTTCACTACCCTCTCTTTTTACTACCCTCTCTTTTCACCGCCCTCTCTTTTCACTAATAGTGACATGGGATTGGTTTATATCCAACCCAGATTTCCTATGTGTTTGTATGTAATATGCGGGTAACATTTTAATATTGGTATTGTCACTTGAATACTTTGTTACACCGCTAAGGGACAGCTCAACCTGCCCCTTTTCCTATTCGTCTTGGGAGGTTCTCTTTTTCAATTAATTAATCTTTCTTCTGATGATTCCGGTAGCTCTCATTCGTCTATATGTATACTAGTCTATACCGATTCAGCTCGCTTTGATATATTACTTAGGTATAGTACTTTTCGAAAACAGATTACCGCCTAGACACGCGCTCCTGCTTTCCCAAAAGACCTACTAACGGGCGGGGCCGAGATCGCCGTACCTTATAACTAATTATACCAAGAAATTACCCCTGTAGAGGGCGTTTACTAGCTATATATGGATTAGCTCCCTCTAGGCAGAAGAAAGCCTTTGTGTCAAAGAGGTAATCTGTTTTCGAAATCCTCTGATGGAAAGAAAGGCTGAATGCTTTTTAATGACTTTTAAATCTGAGTAGAGGGGAGCCATTCTAATCTGCTTAGGGCTCCTTGGCCGTATGGAATACACCTGCCGTTTTTGCAAGGCTCTTTACTGGCTTGCTGAGCGAGACATTCATTCTTCCCAGGCTAATCCTTTGTTGTCTCGCTGCTGCAAACGAGGGGCTGTTTAATTAACGCCAATCCAGCCGCCGCCGCTGCCTTATCTGCGCTGGCTTTTAATAACTGATGATACTCGCGTAAAAGAATTCCGAGACTGGATCCGCCAATATAATTCGGCTTTCGCGTTTACCTCTATTTTTAGTTGTAGTAGCTGCCACCTCAATATCTATGTATAACGTTATCTACGATCTAACTTTGATTTGCGAGGTATTAGGGTGAATGAGATGAACCAACCAGCCAACCTGCTGTGTTTTAATAGAGTCTAGGAGAATATTGCGATAGATTTTCTTCATTCTGCGCGGCTAGGTATGACGATTTTTATATCTTTTGTTAACGTGAGTCTAGCTGTGTTCTCTAATACTCCTGTAGCAGTTTGATGATATCTTCCTTAAACCTATTTTTGGCCTAGGATAGTGGTGTCAGGCGGTTCTTATCCTGTATGTCGATACGGACATTTCCGGTATCGAGAAGCAGAATCACAATGGATTTACTACTAAATTCTGTAGCAAAAGACAAAGGTGTTCGACCGTCGTGGTCTTTTGAGTCGATATCTACTAGTCTAGTTTGGAGAAGTGCTTTTACGATATCTTCACTCCCGCATTCTGCGGCCTAAGATAAGGGGGTTCGACCGTTATGGTCTTTGGAGTCGACGTCTACCAGTCTAGTTTGGAGAAGTGATTTTACCATATCTTTACTCCCCCATTCTGCAGCCTAAGATAAGGGGGTTCGACCGTTATGGTCTTTGGAGTCGATGTCTACCATTCCAGTCTGAAGAAGTGATTTGACGATATTTCTAAGGCCAAATTCTGTAGTAAAGGAAAATGGTGTTCGGCCGGCATTGTCTTTTAATTTAACGTCGACTAATTCGGTCTGAAGTAGTAGCTTAACTCCTATCTCAGATCTATACCTTGTGGCGTAGTATAAAGGTGTTATACTATAGTGGTCTTTTGTATTTACATTGACCTTCCCGGTCTTGATTAAAAGCTCTATTACCGCGTGTTTGGATTCCCTTGCTGCCCAAGACAGTGGTGATATACTATAGACGTCTTGGGTATTGATATCTACCTCTCTAGTCTGGAGTAGTAATCTTACTATCTCCTTATGGCTAGATTGAGCGGCCTAGGACAATGGTGTTTTACCTTGATTGTCTTTTGAGTCGACCTGTACCTTTCCAGTCCCAAGTAAGATTTGGACTGCTGTCTTATGGCCGTTTGATGAGGCCTACGATAATGGTGTTCGGCCGTTGTCGTCTCTTAGATTAATGTTTATGTTCCCGTGTTCGAGTAATAACTTTAGTATTCTATCGTAGCCACTTAACGCTGCCTGGTATAATAAGCCTTGGCTATGGCAATCAGTCCACCCTGATTTAGCTCCTTCCTGAATCGATATTTGAGCGGTCTTCTCCTGCCCTCGTATAGTAGCCTATATTAATGCTGAACCAGAGGTGCGAGCGTTGATTTGATAGAGATATGGATTGAGAAGGGAATAGAATTTGCGATTAATCTGAGAAGTATGATAGATATCACGTTCTGTCTCCAGAAACCTTCTAATTTCTAAGATTAGCTCTGGGGGGAGATCTGGAAGCGATATAGCAGAGTGGCTTTTTTTGAAAGTCACCAACCCGAACCGACTAGGTAATAACGAGAGCGTAGAAACGGATGTTGAATTCAGGTAAAGAGGGCTCTTCGCTAATTGTAAACGCGAAAGCAGATACGTGGCTGTTTTTATGCGAAGACGGTAATTGAGACTATGGCCGAATTGTTGAAGAGGTGATCGAGGGACTTATAAGCTATACGAGGGCGGAACCGGCCCTGGTGGGGGCTAAGCTACATTACGTAAGTCACTGGGATACAGTATTAAGAAAACAAAAACAGTGCTTCTTGAATCCGGTATGGAGCTCTAAGTCATTCCTAATTCGTTCGACTGAAGATAATTCTAGCCGGCCAATAATCACCGAGGATTTTAAAAGGAGTGAATTGCTGTCGTGGAAAAGTGGAGAGGTTTAATACAGTGACATGGGATTGGTTCATATCCAACCCATATTTCCTATGTGTTTGTATGTAATATGCGGGTAACCTTTTAACGTCGGTATTGTCACTTGAATACTCGGTTACACCGCCATGGGACAGCTCAACCTGCCCCTTTTCCTATTCGTCTTGAGAGGTTCTCTTCTTCAATCTTTTAATCTTTCTTCTGATGATTCCGGTAGCTCTCATTCGTCTATATGCATACTAGTCTATACCGATTCAGCTCGCTTTGACAGATTGTATAGCGTTTTCCTTGTTTGCCACAGAAAAGAAGATCCAGTAAGATTATTACTCATTGTTGTCTGGCCCTTGATAACGAGTAAATTTCGCTTGATTTGAGTTATTATGATTGCAGAGTAGGTGATACTGTACGGTTTAACAAACATGCGACCAAGAACACTTAATGGCCACGGGAGTCGTCAGAAAGGCACATCACAAACTCCTCAGGCCACAACAACAGCACGGTTCAAAGTCTCTAGGTCGGGGAAAGGGCCAGTCTTCGATTATTGAATCAGCAGCTTGCCACCAGAAGGTACGTTGCCATTATAACGTAGTTCCCGCCCGTCCGGATCACCCGCCCGTCCGGATCACCTACACCCATTAGAATATTTCAAAATCGATTATCTCAACCAACATCCATCAATTTAACTAGATATAGCGATTTTTACATACATTAATCCTGTGGCCAATCTCCCTGCACCCACTACACCTAGGTGGTGCCCTCTTTGCTGGCATAATTGGCTGACTAGGTAATTCAACCTCTGCATGCGAATCTACCCCATCATCTTCCTCTGGCTGGTTTAGCTGCTCAGCTAGCTGTATAGCCTCTTCAATGGTTAAACCCTCTGCGCAAGGTATCCTCCTAGTTGACCGATTGCGCTTCTTGACCATCTTCTCACTCGCTATACGCAGATTCGCATTATCCTCTGCTAGTAAAGCACCGCTATGTAGCGCTAGCTGGAACCCCTTGATCATCTGGTCTAGGATCTCTTTTGATGGGCTCGGAGGGCTATTTGACCGCCGTTTTAGTAGATCTTTTAACATAGAAGCTTGCTTGAATAGCTGAGCAGCGGTTCTAGGCGTTTGTGGTGTGAATTCGCTAGATCTGCTACTTGGCCGGCTGCTTGGTGGTGTCGGAGTTCGTAGAGAGATATTAAGCTTGTTAAGTACTCTCTCCGGGTCTAATGGTACTAGACCACTAGCTGCGAAGCTATTTTTAATAGTAGGATTGGTTGATTGGAACGCTTCGAGCCGCGCGTGCTGGTAATCCACTAAGAAATCGTGCTTGTCGATATAGTTATATCTTCTGCGCGCAAGATCGCTCACGAAGCGACCGTACGCGCGCTTTAGCACTGCAAAACACCCAACATCTAGTGGCTGTAGTAGATGCGATGAATGCGCAGGCATACAAAGCGGTATAATATCGTTTTCTGCGCAGATTCGGTCGAATTGGGGTGTAAGATGGCTACCATGGCCATCAAGAATCAATAGTCGAAATCGCCCACGTACGCGCGAATTCGTGTGTGGGATAAAGTGCTTTTCCAGCCAGCGTAGACCAATCTCATCGGTAGTCCAGCCATTCTTTGAGACTTCGATTCGCCAGTCTTTCGGTAGGTTTTCGTTAAACCATCCTGCAATAGCTACTTTGCCTTTGAAGATTATACATGGCGGAAGTGAATAGCTATCTGCGCAGATTGCTTCGATCGTAGTGACCCATTCACGATTTCCTGGTTGTAGAAGAGATCTCCGACCGTAGTATTCAGCTCTTGTGACTACTTTCTGCGAAGATATAAGGCCCATTGCAAAGCCTGTCTCATCAAAGTTGTAGATATCCTCTGGTTGTATACCGTTCTCATTAATCACACTCTGTACGGTCGCGAACCACTGCCGAATCGATTTCGGATCTTCGTTTAGGGCTCTTTGGTAGTCGTATCTTCGAGAGAAACGAGATTGAAGCTCATCGCGGCGTTTAATAAAGGACGACGGCCAATTCTTGCCAACGGTAGGAGGAGGGTGATTACCGCGCGCGGCCAGTAGGATATTAGCCATTTCTCCTACAGTAGCCGGTCTAGGGGATGCACCACGCGAATCCATAGAGAGTATCCATTGAGTAAGCGAATCCTCTTCTAATTGGGTTAATTTATGGCCAGTTGGGCGCTTATCCACGCGTGAGATTCGACCTTCAGTACGCGCATGAAGGGTAGTGTAGGGTAGCTCGTATAGCTTTGCTGCTGTGCGAATTGAATTGATGCGTCCCTCTTTCAAATCGGAAAGGGCTAATAAGATCTTGCCCTCCTGACTGGCAGCTTTCTGCCGGGATTCAGGGCGAATTGGTGTCATGGTAGGTGGTTGAAGTTGGTAGGTAGGTAGGAATACGCGATTCTGGAGGTGGTGATCCGGACGGGCGGGTGATCCGGACGGGCGGGAACTACGTTACCGGATTTGACTTACTCCGACAAGTGACGCACGAGCGACATTTATTTGCGCATTCCCGGCAGCAATCAAATTCGGAAGCATGACGGTGAAGTTTTGATAGGGATGCTGGCTCGGTTCGTGCATCTGCGGATCGAAAGGGCCCTGGTAAAGAATAGTGCCCATGACCTTGTCTGCAGGTTGACAAGGAGAATGTGCACAGGAGGACATTCCAATTACAACAGCGATCTCTGTAGAGCCAGTCAAGGAATTCTGATACGCGCATTAGATTTCTTTCCTATTTTCCTTCCACGTGTCAGAATACAATATATAGGGCGTTGAAGCTGAACGATCACGTTGCCACCTTTAGTGACCGTAGAGCTAGCGGTGGGAAGGCCGATGTTGGCTAAAGAGACACTAGACAGTACGACTAGAGAAATGATCGATTTTATGACGTCGACTTGAGTGTAAGAAAGAATTGAAAATGATATAGTATGAGTATCAGAGGTAGAAATAAGTCAATTTGTGTCGAAACGAGTACTAGGGGTCAACGTGGGATATCTATGGTAGGAGCGGAGAGAGCTTCAAAGATACGTTAGGTTTGGAGAATATTAAAGAGTTTATTCAACGGTAACCGTAATGCAAACTTTGGAATTTACTAAGACTTATGAACGCTTTATGAGCTTTGTTTTTGCTAGTGAGTTCGGAAATTGACTAGGTTATGCCCTTGTAGGTCCTTACCTATTCAAGTCTACAGAACTGCATTTAACTAGTACAATGCCCTGACCTATTTTCCTATCTCAATTTTAAATAGATATATGTAAGCCCCTCACAAGAGAATATTGAGCTGTGTAACTTAACTATATCGGGTGAGATAGGGAGGTGATGAGGTACTGTAGGAGTTTATTAGTAACGGTGATAATTGAAGTTTTCTAACGGGTAGCTTTCTTTCGATAGGTAAACTTCAACGGTGGCGCCTACTAGGCTGCTATACTACTAGGAAACGCATATGACCCTAATTTTTAGCCCTGCGGTAGTACTAATTTGTAGGTCGATATTTGCAGATTGCTTGGTATATAGTAGTTTTCGAAAACAGATTACCCCTAGATATACACTCATTCTTTCCTAGTGGACTTACTAACGGGCTAGGCCGAGATCGCTGTACCTTATGAAAATCACACCAAGAAATTACCCCTGTAGAGGGCGTTTACTAGCAATATATAGATTAGCTCCTTTTAGGTAGAAGAAAGCCTTTGTGTTAAACGGGTAATCTGTTTTCGAAATCCTCTGTACTATGGATCGTACCTGCAGAAATTTTCCAGCACTATGTGGGTCTCACCTAGACCTGGCAGTGACCCGCGGGTGACCCTCACGACCCTCGAACCGCCCCGCCACTGGGGCGGTTCGAGGGTCCAACCTTCCGACCCTAAGGGTCGTCCACCTAGAGGTTGGACCCTCGGAGGGTTACCCGCGGGTGACCCTGAGGGTTGTTAAACGAGACAAACAGGCAAATCTCGTGATATATATAATTTATGTAGATTTGCCCTGTATTTTTGAGTATCCTGATTATATGTCCGAAGTTCTTTAACATTAATTTTTAGTGATATATTATTATAAAAACTTGTGTTATATTCTTGAATCTAGTTCCTATCTACTAGACTACTATATATCTATTAAGCCTTTTTAAAACCTTCCGAACTCTTCTAAACGATCGAGGGAGAGGAATTTCGCCCTCTTTATCTATACTATCCTTAGTACTAGATTGTATCTTATCGCCTTTGCTTAGTGAGCTACTTCTTTATCTCCTCCTAAGTATAATATTAGGTAATAGTTATAAAGTAGGTAGTAACTGACTTTCTTTAACTATATCTTCCTTAGTATCACTAATTAGTTTAAATGAGGTAGTAACTGTACTACTTACCTCTATTAAAGCTGCGATCTCTTAGGAAGATAGGTACTCCTAGAGAATTAGCTATTAACTCTCCTATAGATTAAACCTTATTATATATATAAATATTATAATATCCTAGATTATCTTCGGCTTTAGTAAGCCTCGCTAGTAATAATAAATATTATATATAGAGTTAAACAGTTGCTCTATACCTATATTAGTAGCTAGGATAGATATAATATTACGGGTAATACTTATAAGAATCAGTTATTTGTGTTAGTTTTCTTTCTAGAATACACGAGGTAATAAATACTATAAGGCTAGATATTTATTAATATTAGTTAGATATAAAGGATAAAGATAGATTATTAGACTTACTAAAATCAAGATATTAAGTTAGCTTATCCTCCTATAGAGCGATAGACTACTAAGAGTCATTTAACTCTAATATAGATTTAAGCTTGGATATTCTAACCCTAGATAATAGACTACTTAGCGATAACTAACTATCCTTAATATTAAGCCGCTCTTTATAGCGCTTAACCTAAGTCTTAAGACTACCTTAGTAAATGTCCTTCTAACTAGCTTCACTAGGATTATCTGATTCCTATTCCTTTAATAAGAAGAATTGAAGCTTTTGGAATAGAGATAAAATTGTACTAATAGCATAAAGATACCTATTAATACTATCTATATCCTTATAGTATTTTGAAAGCTTTTCTAATATAGCTTTAAGGGCAGATTATATAAGCTATTTCTATAGAACCTTCTTCCGCCGAAGTATAGTAATCGCTTTTTTAAGATAGTTAAAAAGGCGGTTATATATACTAAAGATAAGGTAGATACTTAAGTCTTTAGTCCTAGAAATAAGACTTATAAACTTATAGAATAGTTTAAGAATAAAGAGCAGATATTTAATCTACCTCTATTCTCCTAGGCTTAATATAAAGTAAGGCTACTCGTACTATAAGTAGAAGGTATCGAATACTAGCTATAGTCTCTTTGCTCGCTAGAGTATTAGGAAAGTTAAATTCTACTATATCCTAATATCTTAGATTAGAATAAGCTTAGGCTCTTTATCCTAGAGATTATAAAATATATCCTGCTACTATAGGCTTACGTTAATATAAATAGTAAGGTTACGAACCTAAAAGAGATATTAGTATATAGAAGTAATACTTAGAATATAGTATACCTTATTAAGTATATCTGTGATCTTATACTTTCTTTAGCGTATATATAATACCCTTATACGATTATTAAACTAGTTTAACTTAGTAGTATTATTACTTAAGGATACCTTTATCTTCCTAAGCAAATCCGTAAGACTAATTTAGATAATATAAGTAATATAAGGAACACGAATAATTGTAGAATTAGTACTTAGTTAGATAGTCCTTACTAAGTTGTTTATAGCCTAAACTAGTGTTATATTATTTAAGGTATTATTGGTAGTGATTGCAAGCACTTAATTAAGAATATTATGTTTTTATAATATCTGAGTAATAACCTTACTAAGATTTAATTTAGAGTATATACTAAAGAGTGGCTTAAAGCTAAGGAGAACCTTATAGTACTCCTAATCTTTGTCTAGAAAGTAGCCTATTACTATTATAAATGCCTACTAAAATAGCGATATCTAATAGTCTAGCGTAAGGGAGAGCTTTGTCTTTGGTAGTAGACTCTAGAGAAGTCTTTCTTAGTATTTATAGACAAATGCCTTTAACCGCTTATAGATAGTTTGTTATAAGGGAATGGTTAGTATAGTTAGAGTAAGGTATACGTATTTAATAATATTAGTAAACTCCTAGTATTTAAGGAACAAAAATAGGAGATATAAAATAATAATAAGACTTAGTAGCTTTTACTCCTAAATATCTTGTAAGAAGATAAGAGCTGGTTTATTTAATGCCTATAGATAATTTAGTAATAAAGATAATATAAGGGGATATAATATATAACTGTCTTAAGTAAATTCTTGATATTTAGTCTTCTTAACGCGAATTTAGCATAGTTAACCCCCTTCCTATACTTATTTATAGATAATATACCTATATAAGCAGCTACTAGATAATTAAGAACCTTCCGACATTACTTATATATTATACCTAGCTTCCTATCTTTAGTATTCGCCACTTAGTCGAAATTATTCTAGTATTCTGCTTAATAGCGCGCGTCTTAGTTTACGTGCTTAGACTTCCTAAATTCTGTCTAAAGCTACTATTTAACAAATTCCTTACTTATTATATCATAGTATAAGGCAAAGGAATTAATATAGTCAGGATTTAGTATTATAAGATAAGGAGGTAAAGGTATATATTATAAAGAGCTAAGAAGGGCGAATTAATAACTATCGCGTACCGATATTAAGGTTTGTTAACTTCCTAACGCGTAAGGGGTTATAAATAGTGTATTATTAGAGAGAAGGTATTAAAGAGCGTCTAACAAAGCCCCCTTGTAGTTTAAGGAAGTATAAGTATCAGAAAATTATAACATATTTAATATAGGTAAATATAAATATAGTAAGGAGTAGATGATTTATAGTAAATTATTTTCTATAATTAAAGTATAAAGGACTAAAATTTACTATTTTTACTAAGTAGATCTATTAAACTATTTAATAAACTATTACTATTAGTTAGTTTATAAGGGTCACCTGTAATAAACCTTATAGACCCTCAATAAACCTCGTTCAGACCTTTAATAAACCTCGTTTAGACCCTTAATAAACCTCGTCCGGACCCTCTAACCTTCGTCCAGACCTTTAATAAATTTTATATTTCTAACCTCGGTCGGAAAATAGATAGTATAATCCAGTTATTGTATAAAGCCTTCTAAACCCTATGTTTCTAACCTTAGTTAGAAAGTAGATAGTATATCCAGTTATTATATAAAGCCTTCTAAAACCTATATTTCTAACCTCAGTTAGAAAATAGATAGTGTATCTAGTTATTATATAAAGCCTTCTAAACCCTATATTTCTAATCTCGGTCAGAAAGTAGATAGTATATCCAGTTATTATATAAAGCCTTCTAAACCCTATATTTCTAACTAAGGTTAGAAAATAGATAGTATATCTAGTTATTATATAAAGCCTTCTAAACTAGTTTAGATATAATTCTCTTATATCTAAAGGGTAGAAATAAAATATATTTCTTTTAAGTAATATTATATATATAGATATATATCTTTAATATATATTTCTACTATAATACAGACTAATCACTTCTACCTTACTAAGTACCGCTTCCCTATA